GACGTGTCACAGCGATGGGGGGGGGGGTATGAGGGCGACGTGTCACAGAGCTAAGGGGGGGGTGTTTGACGTGAGTAACTCTTAGCTCCCCAGCACCTAAACAGCGACCATTTCAAGGTGCTAGAGCTAAAAGACCTGGATGGTACAACAGCTTCCTGTGGCATTTAGGATTCGCCAACACAGACGATGGCTGACAGACGATGGCGTTTCTCTACAGGGGTTCCAGGTCCAAGAAGAGCGGTTGGGGTCTCTCTTACGAAAGCTTAGCCGTGTCAGAGCACTGGGGTTGTGTAAACTATTTGGTGTCTCCTACCAAACGTGCTGCCACAGATTTCACAAGTGACACACGTTGCACAAGCAGCCCTAACGGCATGGCTAAGCTTTGGGACCCCCCCGAGTAACCGCATTGGTCCCACCCCCCGCCACTCACCTGCTGCTGCTGAAGGTGCAGTAAGTCCACAGGGCTGATCTCCCCGTTGGTGTCACCGTTGGACCCGCCTTCTCTCCCCCCGCTATCTGATTGGCTGCTTAGGCTGCTGACTCCATTCTGATTGGAGGGGGTTGTTCGAATGGTCTCTGTTGCTGATTCTACCATCATCACGTGGCACCTGAAAGTGGAAAGATATCGGGGAGGGGGGGTCAGTGCTGCCAATCTAAACTAATATCTTCCAATCCTCAGCCCTGCCATCGAAAGCATGACAATATAAATCCATATGAAAACACTGGAAAATAGGGATATATGTTTCCTTCATGAAAAAAGATCAGGAAGAGAGGGCGAAACTTTAAGCTAGATACTGAAACATGCTGGATAGACAACAACCATTTTAAAGTGACAGAATCCCGTGCTTAAGGCAGCCGCTCTTGCTGTTAATATGGCCATTTCCCACAAAGTTTGTTTTATGCGCACAAAATGAAAATAGAAGTTAATTTTCAAAACTCCAACCTGTTTAAACAAGTGGACTGAGAGGAGGGGAGGAGAAACAGCCGGAGCCGACACCGACATTTGGCGGCACGGGAGCGGCTCAAAGTTTTCACTTCCCCGAGGTAACGCTGCCAAGTTTGTGTTTTTCTGCACAAGCAAGCCGCTTTGTGGGAGACGTCCTCAAGTGTTTGCAGGGAGTTTAGGGGGGCTCCAATTAGAAACAGGTCCCGGAACAGGAGCGCACCGGTGCCGTTTTCAAAATGCCGCTCAATTATGGGGAGGCGTCTTTGGTGCTTAAGAGACGAGCGGCAGCGTGGGAGAGAGCAGGCGACGGCTAGGAGGTACAAAACAGCCTCAAACAGCCACAATAATGAGAGCAGCCTGCCGATCCGACGCATCCCGGTTTAAAAATAAGTCAGCGGAGCGTTTCGACAACCCTGGGCAAGTCAGGCGGGAAGCCGGGGCAGCGTGCCCCCCCGGGGAACAAAACGCCCCCCGGAAAAATACCGACAGCGACGCCAGCGAGGGTTCTGGGATGTGAACTGGGTTTTAGGGACTCTGGTTTCTCCCTGTGGCGGCATGTTCCTCTGGTATGGTTCTGCCCATCTGCCCGCTGGCCATCTCGCCCGGTTACCGGACAGCACGGCGCAGCGGACGCAAACAGCGGCCCTCTCCGCCAGCACGTGTTCCCTGCCGTTAAAGATGACGACATCCCGCCGTCTGGCGGAGCGGCTTTCACTTTCGTCCGACCCCGCCCCCCTGACCAGACCACCAAAATGAGTAAATTAACCACTGGCACCGAGGACAACGGAGCGTAGGTTGGGGAGTGCGAGGGCCAGGATTATTCCACCGCTGACGGATATAAACCTCCGGGAAGAGCCCGGCATTCACCCCCCCCTCCCGGAATGGCGAATACTGCATAGCTCTGGACTCCCAAAGGCTGCTGAAGTGCCCTATTGACCGTTTGGAAAGCGGAAACCCTACAGAAAACTAACAGCCTCTCTCCCCGCTGCGGGGTCCCCGTCTCCCGTCCCCGTGGTGGACAAAGAGCACTCTTTCTTCCGTTAACGGGTGCCGGTAAAGACACCTTTGGCCAAAAGCCTCCCAGACCCCCGAGCAAGCAGGTGGGGGACCCTGAAACAAACCACGTCTGTATGAGGCGACCTCACATCCTGCGACAGGCGCACACCGTGCCGATAACGCACACCAGAAAGAGGCATGGTGGTAAATCATGCAGCAGACTGCGATTACGGCCGAGAGATCGCAGCAAGCCACGGCTGCTGCTTCAGAATGCATCTCGTCAGGCCCCACCCTCAGCCGCTCGCGCTGAACTCTGACCTGGAGGAATGCAGGGGCGCATTCCTTCATCGCTTTGATCTGCTCTCATTCGCCTTTACAACCGATACGAAAATATATATGATCCAACATGCCCCCCGCTTCAGGCGGCCGGAGTCAGTACGAATCCGGGCACGCAAAGCGTGGCGACCCCCACAGAGGAACCCACTCTTCCCCTCTCGTGCGTGTGGGTCTCTTTTTCATGAGACCTTGGCTGCAGGCTAATGCTCCTAGATGGAAACTGCAAAGGACTCTGGGAAGACGAGGTTTGCATCAGCACTCAGATTCCCAAATTTCAGACTGGGAAGGTCGAGGTAGTGTCGAGACTTTTTCCAAAGCCTGCTGATTTAGTCCTAAGGATCAAGAGGCAGCTCAGAACGTTCCAGACAAACACGACAGATGTATTCTGTTAGAAGCTGGTCAGGAGGTCGATGTGGGGGCAGTGGGGGAGGGGAGGGGCGCTGGGGAAGACCAGAGGCAGGTACAGATGTGCCACGGCGGCAGGTAAGCAACACCTGCAGGAAGCCGTGAGTCTGGAGGTGAGCCCCGAGGGAGGGGGCCGCTCCCATACTCATGAATCAACACGGCACTGAAGTATGCTGATGCCCCCACTAAGACCTGGGAAGAAGGAGTATTTAACACACCCCACAGAACCCCCCTCCCCTCCACCACCACCGCTAGGCCTGCTACTATTTTCTTCAACACCCCTTGGATCTCAAATGGAGGAGCTACAACAGGGTGTAAAACAGGCTGAAAATATTAAAAAACTCACGCTGATGTAAAACATCTGACACCCTGCTTCAATCACATGACCAGAACATTCCGTGGCAGAAGGCTTGAGTAAACCCTGAGTAAGACTACAGAGTAACACACTACCATAGAAAGACCCATTCCAGTGGGGGGCAAAGGACCTGACGAGCTATGTCAGGGGACCAGCAGAGCGTGGCATTCCCAAGTACTTAAAAACTACAGTTTAAAAAAAAAAAAAAAAAAAAAAAAAAACCTTCAGCCCAAAGTGACCAAAACATCTCCAAGATCTGATAAGCAATTAACAGTTAAACTCAGGGAATGCGTAGCGTCGGCCGGAGCCCGGCACTCCGCAAGCTGACAGCCTTATTAAACGCACTGCGGAATGTAGGATTACCGCTAAATCCAACAAATCATTCCATGTGTCCAGCATATGACTTTCCCGGGTTCACCGGTGACGCCCCCCCCCCATGGCCACGTAGCCCATTTCGGCCACCCTGCCCACTAATTGCAGGCCAGCCTTCCAGCCAGCGTCGTCAGAGAGTGACCAGAAAGATTATAGCCTTACGCTACAAATAAATCTCAAAATGGCCGCTTGGCGAGGCGGACAGAGGGGCCAATGTTTACAAACCACGGCGGCAGTGGCGGTTCATGTGATGCCCGCCCTGTGTTCAGGATCGGATGGGGCATCTCCGTGGTGCGTGACGAGAGCCAGGCCGTGTCCAATTGCCCATAAATCAATCCGTCCTTAGTCCATCTCTCATACACAGAAAAACCCTTACACTGTCACCCATGCCAGATCGCTCCACGCATGTCGTCACGGCGACAGGCCGCAGCTCTGCCACATACTTCCAAAGTGAGCCCCACCCCCCCCTTTTGTTTTAACTTTGAAAGCAGTTTACCGGGTTAATGGCTCTTCATTGTGCTCAGCGTTCTGTGGGAATATTTACACAAGTCCCAAAAAGCTCGTTTCCAGAGCCTTGCATCACCTCAAAAGAACGCTCTTATTAAAAAAATACAAAGCCGCCGTAACGTGATTGGGACAGACAGACGCGCCGGTGCCAGCGCATATCACTGCTTCCCCCCAGGCTATAAAAACGGTATCAGTTCGTTGTACGTAGCAGGGAACATCGCCGGCAAATTCTATATACGCCTGCAGCTGGGGCTCCGCTAGCTGCTTATCCTCTTTCAGAGGGCATTCGGCGAAGCTGGCATGGGCTGAGGTTAGGATGCGGAATCCAGTACCCGGGTCATGTGATGTGAAGCGTAGGAGAGGATTCTGCCTTTCATAAGCATAGCGATGGCGTCAAAACATGGTTTGGAGCTGCCAAAAAGCCCTGGGCAGGCCCCCTATCTGATATGACGGCGTGTTTATGAAACACTAGCGCAATGCCGTCAGACTGGGCTAAACAGCCCGTGAATGTTAAGTTAAACTTCCAGAGCTTTCCGGTACCTTCCTTCATTTTCAGCAGAATGCCAAATGGGAAAACAGGCCGGCAAACCAGAAGAGGGCAAGGCAACAGGCCATCATGGAGAACCAGCTTCACATCCGCCGTCCTATGCAGCGCCCCCTAGCGACTGTTTATCGCATCACCCAGATGCAGGCGGGGCCTCTCGGTCCAACGACGTCGGCAGGGATGATTGTTCCGGAACCCTCTAGGGGGGCTGAATGAGCAACAACTCGCAGGCTGCCCGCGGCAACATTTAAACGCCTCCCAGCCTTCCGCTCGGAAGCTGAATCTCAAAGACGGGAAGGCCGCTACAGAGAGCGCCCCCAGGTGGACTGACGACTCCCCCTCACCCGGGGCTTCCCCAAACCTGCAGACCCCCCCCACCCCCCAAGCCTCACGCTGCCCGTTTATTACAGCCAAACAGCTGTGAAATAAATATGCGGTACGTTTTATTACACGCGTGGCTCATGAGATTAACGACAAGGCAGCTTTACGCAACTCGCACGCATACGCGGCTCTCGCTCATAACCGCGCACGCTGTCGTCAGCGCTGCTCGGCTAATGGCCTTGGGATCGGCTAACGCAGACTCGCTCCCCCCTGCGATCGCCTGGAGGCTGCCCAGCACACCCAGGGGAGATTTACGGCAGGGCCCACAGCGCACGCCATAGCCCCCACTCCTATGGTTCAGGCGGGATTAGCGGGAGTGCGGAAGCTGGTGAGGACGTCTGGGCGGGCCCAATTCCACGAGCTGGGTGCTTAGAACACATTGTGAGCTCCCCAGTGCAGATTTACTGCGCCCCCGGAGCAAAGTTGACGCGCCGATGTTTAATAAACGCCTGAAATTAATGCGCTGATCGCATTCGCACATGCAATTTGTTTATTAAATCCAGCTAAAAGTTTGGGGTCGACACTTAAACTGCTGCTAACTGCTCTAACACAAAAACAATCAGTCACACAGATTCGGCACAGAATCCTGCTTTACTGACACATATAGCCTAAACCCTGCTCTCCTACTGAACTCCCCGCCAAACGCAGATGCCCGTTTAAAAACCACCAGAACAATACAGTAAAGCCATTTTAAAGAATGCAGCAAAGCAATAAACAAAGGCAGGCTAGTATCCTTACAGGCCAATAATTACCCATAAAAGACAGA